GCTCCCCTGATTATCTGTAGGCTTCTGGCACATCCCCCAAGACTGCCAGATTATCCCTACTAATGCTTTGCTCTTCCCTGCATCCCCTTACCCTGCCTGGCACCAGCCTCTTTGCTTTCAAGGCTGCAGCCTCCATCCCTCCCTGTTCTTGTCCCCCACCCCAGTCACTGTGGATATGTGACAGTGGCATTTCTGAGCTTGGGACATGTCTCCTGAGATCTGTGAAGCAAAGGCAGAGGAGGCATTTTTGGAGAGCTTACCTGTAGGCTGCACCTCTGGGCTATATCCCCCCTCCTCATTTGATCACAAGAACAGCCTGAAGTTTAGGAAGCTCTCTATGGCACCCAGGTGCTAACAACTAAAGCAGGCACCATGTGCCTTCCTCCTCCAAAAAAGCCTTTGTGCAGCAGGGCTTCCCTCCAGGGCAGGTTGTGCAAGCCAGAGTGAAGGGGGTACCAGGGAGAGAGGGCTGTTTTCTCCTTGCCCCTTCAGCCTCTCTGCTGGGACCTTGCTGCCTCAAATTACTCTCTTGCTCTTTTGCCACCTGTGCTCCAGTATCTGGGGAGCCCCAGGGTGCTTGTCTGTGTGAGTAGAGATGCAGATGGTGAGTCATTGCTGAGGACTGGCTTGGATATGGGGCTGAGATGGTAGAGCCATGGCTCTGGGCAGAGGCCACAGAGCTCGTGCTCCTCTCAGAGCAATTGGCTTTCACTTGGGATGTTGCATAGCAATGTCAAAGCCTCATGGGAGATCCCTTTCTTTAACAAGCTGGATTTTATTTCTCCCAGAGCAAGCAGCATTGGCAGCGGCTGAAAACCCTTCCTTTGCAAAGCCAGATTTGCCCAAGACATGGTTTGAGGTTTGCTTTCCTTTGGAAGGTAGGATTTGTTGGTACTTTCCAGTGGGTGGGTTTGGCTGTGGCCTCTGCTGTACTGCATGGAAGCTAGCAGTAAATGTGATGGCAGCAGGCAGAGGAAGCCACAGGTGCTCTAGTGTCAGGCACCCAAATGGGATGGGGGAGCTCATGGGGGCAGTATGGCAAGACAGGACATCTGACTGCAGCCTCTCCCCTGTGCTTGCCTAATTGCTTTTGGCTCTCAGCAGCCTGTTCCCCCTAAAAACCAGCACTGACCATGGAGTTGCCTCCTTCATCCTCAAGAGCTTTTTCTGCAGCATTTCTACCCTGCTATGGAGTGACCCTGCCTTACACCCATACCTCCTCAGGCTCCTTGCAGTGTGCAAGGGGGGCATCTGGTCAGCACTTACCTGTCCAGGAAGTTTCCACATCACTGTGGATGTTGTTGATTGCTGCTGTGCTCTTCTGGGCAGAGTCTAACTCCACCCAGGCTGCATTGGGTCTGGTGACACTTTCCATGCTACATTTTTGGGAGTGTTTTTCTGGGAAGCTTTGGCCCAAAGTGGCTGAGCAGCATCCAAAAATGAATGCCTGCAAAAGGGATCCAGAAGGAACAGAGTGGGTAGGGGGGCATGCAATTAAAGATGACAATCACCTGCAAGAAAGCCAAAGGCAGTGCTGTGTGCAGCCTGACCTCCAGCCTTGTGCTCTAGTGTGGGAGATGGTGGCACCCTGCTGGATGCTGACCCTGCTGCTTAGGTGCTGGTGTTAGCCAAGCTGTGCTAGGGGCTGCAGATCAGTAGTGGTCAATTGTCATTGCCCTGGTGCAGCACTTCAGCTCACCAAGCCTGGTTCAGAGGAAGCAAGTCCTCTGCTCCTTATAGGTACAGACAGGAACCCTTTGAACTGTCCAAGATGCGTATTTCCCCCTCACTTCTCATCTGATGTCATCCCCAGGAAAATAAGCTAAAGGGATCTCTCCATGCATTTGGCTTTCCTGATGTTTCTAATGGCAGTGCTGTCTTTTGTAAGGGATTCTCTGATCCTCTTCCTTCATCCTGCTTAGTGTGTTTAATAGTCCTGCCATGTGTCTGGTTGCACTTATTTCCCAGGGAGGAAGAGAGTAACTTTTAGGCTGCACAGTTCAAGGGAGCAGGAGCTGTTGGTTTTGTCCACAGAGCATCATCACTGCCAGTGATAGGGCTGGGCCAGGCAATCCTATTCTCCCTGGTTTCTCTATTGCAAATGTAAGCAGCGACTCATGCAACATTAGAGTTGCAAGCTTGGAATTAAACTGTGTGTGTTTATCTTCACACTGACTGTCAGAACCTCACTGAGGTTGAACTCCAAGTTTCCTTTCCATTTACCCTGTTGCTGTAGCAGAGATGCTATTCCCTCCTCCAGAGTGGTAAGCAGGTTGGCTTTCTGTCAGCAGGATCATCCCCCGGGGCACTGCTGGCAGTTGGGTTGCTCTTGAAAAGCAAACCGCTTCATCCCTTTTCTTCCGAAACAGGAGGGTTTCATCCTGCACAGGGAATGGAAGCCCTCCACGGGGTTGTAACTGTGTCCTACTCCCATAGGGTGCAGGTCCCTATCTCCAACAGAAGTGCTGGGGCACTTCACTGCTTCCCAGACTCTGCTGTATCTGCTCACCACCTCTGAGGAGGTAGCGCATGTGTTTCTGTCCCGTGTTGCACCATCTTCTCCCAGAACAAGTGTTGCTCCTCTGCTCCATTTCATTGCAGTGAGGGTAGGTGGCAGGGGACAAGTGATACCCTGCAGGGACCTCTCTGCCTCCTGCAACAACCCAATCCCCCAGGCTGGATTTGGCTCTGGAGAGCTGCGTGGTGCTGGTGAGGAGCTGGCTAATGGAGGCACCAGCCTTGCAGTGAGGAGCCTCTATTTTCCAGCCCCTCAGGCTGTCTATATGAATCAGTTTATTAAACAGGGAAAGGAGGGGCCTTGTGTTTGTTTTCGTTACATGAATCTCATTCCCTCTAGGAGTCCCGTGGGATCAAGCAAAAGGACTTGTTTTACGGTTGGTTATTGTTTGTGAATCCCTGAACTAATTTAGTCATTCAGTGGATACCCCAGCAGCACAGTGGGAGCAGCATGGCTCAGGGGTAAATGCTTTGTGCTGTCATCCTTTTCTGGGGAAGAACAGAAAAACTAAAAAAACTACCCCACAACCGAAACAACAGCTCCAAACAAATCTGTTCTGAGTGTCTCTGGTTTGAGTCCCTTGCCTTAGAGGCTGCACAGAATGTGCCCCATCAGCCTCCCACCATGTCCTTGGCCCCAGGCCATGCAGTGCTGATGGCATGATGCCATGCAGCATCTGATACAACCATAGCACTTGCCTTTGGGGCTATGCCAGCAGCTTCCTGGCCTGTCCTCCCAGTGCAGCTCCCTGTTATCCTGCCACCCCTGCAAGCAGTGCTGCTCCAGGATCCCCTACATATGGGTGCCTACCCATGGGATGTGCTTACAGGAGAGCCTTCCCAGATGATTTCTGGTGTGTGGTGATCCTCTGAGAGCTGATAGGCCTCCTGGGCTGGGCTGGGATGGGCTGGGCTGGGCTGGCTGTTACAACAGAAGGTCTCCTGCCTGTGTAGCCAGGCTGGTGGGGGTACTGTGGAAGAGGCACCCCACTTGGGTTGCCCACTGCACTCTGAGACAGAGCTTGGTCAGCCATCCTTGGGGAGCATTGTGCCACCCCAACTTGTACCTATGGCGTCATGCTGCGTGTCTGCAGCTATGGAAAAATAACTAGCTGTGGGGAGCTTCATCCCTAGAAATCTGCCCCTGTTCCTGTGAGCTGCTGTCCAATGGCAAAGCCACTGGCACCAGGCAGCAACAGCCTTGGGCATCAGTCACCCTGCAGCATGGGGCTGGGGTGCTCGGTGTCACTTCCCACAGGCATGTTACGTTGCACCCAGCTTCCCAACCTCATTTTTGAACGGAGGAAACCACCACCACAAGGCAGCTTCCTCCTAGATACTTTCAAAATAGAAGGGTGGCTGTCATCAGTGTGTGTGAGAGACTTCCACCGCCTCTCTGGGAGCAGACCCAAGCAGAGGTGTTTTCCATGGGGCTGGGGCAGTGCCTCCAGCCGCCTTCCTCCTCCTCCTGGGTGAGTGTCCTGCCTAGTGGTGGTGGTGGCTTTCCTGGGCTGGGGGGGATATAAAGCACCCCTTCAGTACAGATGGGACATTTGCAGGTGGATGGCTCAGCCAGCACTGCTCTGACTCGATGGTCATGGGAAGAGCTATGGTGGTATGGTCTGCTTTCGGCAGTGTGCTTTCACTGCAAAGCAATAGCTTGGACCCTCCCAGGGTTTTGGTGAGGGCACATGAGCACCCCTGTTGTGTGGCTGTGGGGAGTGTGGAGGGAGCTACTTCATCTCCCCTTCCTGTGGGAGGGGGTTTCTGAGGGTTCCTTAGGCTGTGCTGCCACCAGCTCTCTTCCCTGAGCTGGTCTCTGTGGCTGGTTTTTGACTTAGTGCCCACATCCAGTGGGCATTTTTCTTGGTGTGCCTCTTGGGCATCGAAACAGAGAAAGTGTCACCATTGGGAGTTCTGCAGGAGGGGAGGGTGCATGGGTGGCCATCACCTCCCCAAAGCCTCTTCAGGCAGAAACAGAGGGGAGCCCTTGGGTTCTCCTGGTGCCCTCTGCCTTCAGAGGAGCTCTTGCTGGCCCCATCTCCTGCATCCTCCCTGGTTTCTGTTCATGGAGCACCTCTGTAGCACCCAGCCTGCCGGTTCCCTATGCTACCCACATCGCTTGGCTTCTGCATTGCATCTCCTTCCCTTGCAGTAGTCAGCTTTGGCAACTGCTCCCTTATCCCCCCTCCTGTGCAAGACCTGAGTGCTTGGCCTTCTGAATTGTAACACTCCATAAGCTTCTTCCAGTGATCTCTGCGTGGTTGCTGGCTAAGAGATGCTCTCCTGCCACAAACAGGCTTGCTAACCTTCCGGCCGTGGTGCTCTGATCTGTCATTTGACTTCCAGTGTGGTAGAGACAGGAAAATTTAGAGGTCTGTTGTAACAGGACTTGTTCTTGCAGTCGCAAGGGGTGTGATGTCCCTTGGACTTCGTGCTTCAAAGAATGAGATTGCACAGCAATTCTTTTCAGTTGTGGTCTCATGCACGTCCAGACCCACTACTGTTTCGGGTGTGCAGCCCTTGGGCAGCACATACCCTTGCAATGTGCTGACTGTTTGCAAGCAGACTTGAGCGCTGGCCAGCAGCTGGTGACTGTTAAGAAGGGGCCCTTCTACTGCATTAGGGTTCCCAGGTCACTCTGTGGTGCAAGGTGAGCGGCTACCAGGGCCCGTCGGAGCAGAACTTCCAGTGGTCCATCTACCTGCCCTCGGCCCCTGAGCGGGAAGTGCAGATCGTCAGCACCATCGACCCGTCCTTCCCCTATGCCATCTACACCCAGCGCATGCGCAGCCGCGGGATCTATGTGGAGCGGGTGCAGGGGGATGCCGTTCTGCTGCACATCACCGACCTGCAGGACCGGGATGCCGGCGAGTATGAGTGCCACACACCCAACACTGACGAGAGGTACTTCGGGAGTTACAGCGCCAAGGTAAACCTCCCAGGTGGGTCCTGAAAGAGAGCCCTGCTTGCTGCTGGGCAGGGGCACAGTCAGGTTTCCATTGCCTCCAAGAGCACAAGAAGTGCTTGTCTCTGACAGAGGGGCAGCTGGGAAAAGGGGTGGTTAATGGGATCAGTGGACAAAAAATTTATTACTCTTCCCACTGTGGGATTGCTGCGAACTGCTGGGCATACTCCTTGTCATGTCCCCTTGCAGGTTGCTCTCGCCTTTGCCTCCCAGCCAGGGCAAGGGGAAGAGAGAGAAAGCCTCTGCTGTCCCATGGCCCAATTTTTAACTTCAGCTCCTGACTCAGCCACAGCATTTCTCAGATAAGCACTGAAGAAGACAAGAGCTTTCAGGCTCAGTGCATTAGTTGTTGATGTACTCTTGGGTCAGGATGTAGGACTTGACCCAAGCATCATACTCACATTTGGAGGAAAGTGGCAGGGAAGGGGGAAGGTAATAGGATGGAGAGGCAAAGGTAAAGGCTCTCCTGTGAGCCCACAGAGTTACATGGTGGTATGGTCACAATAAGAACAATCAGCCATTGGAATAATGTCCCCATGGAAGTGGTGGACTCCACAGTGTTGAAAGTTTCTAATATTCAGCTGGACAGGGTGCTGGAACATCTCGTCTAGGTCATGCTTTGCTGAGAGGTTGGTCCATATGATCCTTGAGGTTTTGTCCTGGGTTCAGCAGTAGCAGTCATTTTTTCTCCTTCTTAGTAGCTGGTGCAGTGCTGTGTTTTTTACTTTCTGCCTGGGAACAGCGCTGATAACACCGATGTTTTTAGTTACTGCTCAAATGTTTAGTCTGACCAAGGACTTCCTGACCCTCATGCTCTGCCAGGGAGGAGGGGAAGCCGGGAGGAAGCTGAGACAGCACACCTGACCCAAACTGACCAAAGAGGTATTCCATACCACAGCACGTCATACCCACTATATAAACTGGGGGCAGTTACCCGGAAGAGCTAGGTCACTGCCAGGGTCGGGCTGGGTATTTGTTGGTGGGTGGTGAGCGATTGTATTCTCTCCCCTTGTTATTTCCCTTATCATTATTATTATTGGTGGTAGCAGCAGTGGTTTGTGTTATACCTTAGTTACTGGACTGTTTATCTCAATCTGTGGGAGTTACATTCTTTTCGATTCTCCTCCCCATCCCTCCGGGAGTGGGGAAAGGAAAGGCGGGGGAGAGTGAGAGAGCAGCTGCATGATTTACGGCTGAGCTTAAACCATGACAGGTTTCTTCCAACCTGGTATTCTTTGATGCTATGGTAGTAATTCTCCTTGGTATTCATCCCTGTGTTCTCTTTATGCTGGTGGTGTACCAGTCTGCACTTGGGATTGTGAGGGGCTGGATGTTAATCTCTTTGGGGTTGCCCAATTAATACTGATCGTTGTTTGAGTAAAGAGGGTACTGCAAAGAGCTTCATTGTGCTTTCTTGCCTGCTGAGATTTTAAGCACTTCGCACACCTTTGCATCAGCTGATGGAAGCCTTGTCAATCAACTACAAAAGATATTTCTTCTATGTTGTCAGATTCATTAAGGCCTGACCACAGTTTTGTAGTGTCTGGCACATTGCATGTTGAGGCCCAGAGACAATTTCCCCTCTGACCATCAGCTCTGTTTCTTCCCCATGCTCAGTGATCGCAGACACCCTCTGTGCTTCCGTGGCACTGCAGGTCCTCACCTGCAGTGAAGGGGATGCAGTGGAGCTCACCTGAGAGGTGGCCAAGCTCACTGCCCAGCACGCACATCTCTCTGTTGGTTGGTACCATCTTCATGGAGCAGGAGAGCACTGCTCTGAGGAGGTCCTCACCCTCTCCAAGGACTTTGTCTTGAAACCAGGGCCCTCTTACATGCAGAGGTTTCTGGTGGGAAACGTGTGGCCGAATAATATTGGGAGCATCACATGCAAGCTCTCCATCAAAGGAGCGGAGCTGTCTGACCAGGGGCAGCTGTACTGTGAGAAAGCTGAGTGGATTGAGGATCCTGATGGGATGTGGAAGGATATCTGGGAGGACACTGCTGGTGATCATGAGCCAGGGTAAGGTCCTTCTAAGCTTACATGTTCGTTCCAATTTCTTTGTGCATTTAAGGCTCTATAGCAGCAGCCTTGTCTGTTCATGCTGTCACTGGTCTGCTAGTTTTCAGAGAAACTGGTGTTGCTGTCTATTAGACCATCCATGTATCCCTTCCTAGTAGTTCACGTATGGTAGTAATGGAACTGTGGGTCAGACTGTGTTTTGAAGAAGGTGCACCTAACTCCTGGCTTATCCTTTAGGAAAATGTAGTATGAAGTATTTAGAAGAAGGAGACTTAGACTTGCTATCATGTGTAAGATGGATTAAAATAGGAAAGCTTGAAACCAGCCTCTTGAAAGTGCTGCCTGCCCTCCCAGACACCACTCTCTGCCAGGCAGCTCCTGTTCCCCCTGCCCAGCAGCTTCCCATGGTTCTGGGCAACCTCGTCTAGTTGAAGATGTCCCTGCTCATTGCAGGGGGTTGGACTGGATGAGTTTTGAAGGCCCCTTCCAAACCAAACTATTCTATGACTCTATGGCTCCTGGCAACTCCAGGCTCTGTGCTGCATCTCCTGGGGCCAATAAGAAAATCCCTCTCTCCCCACTGCCCTGGGATGGTTACAGTGCGTTTGCTGTGTGTTTGCTGCCACTCATCTGAACACATGCCCTTTGCTGGCTGCAGTTGTTTCCCTGCTCTTCCCTCATCTCTGTGTCTGTAGCTGTGCCTAGATGAAAGGAAAACCTCCCTTTCTCACAAGCAAGTTTTCCCTTAAAGCAGCCAAGACAAGTCTGCATCTAGTTGGCACTCTTTAACATATGCAGTAAAATGGGAGCAAGTCTTTCATTGAAAACCTGCCTGGGGATGTGGTGTACCCTGTTCCCATGCCCCAGGGAAGATGAAGGAGGCTGTAGAGCTGGGGCAAGAAGGGAAACCCATGTCTCATGGTAGTGTGGTGAGGCAGAGCAGGAAGTCAAAGAAAGATAAGGACCAAGCATCCTGTCTGTGACACAGGAAGGCAAGGTACTGGGGGAGGGAAGCAAAGTGCAGTCTCACACTGTCAAGAGTCTGGTTCCTAAAACCTGGCACAGCTTTATTCCTCTTATTACACACAGTTTGCAGCAATGACTTTACATGTCTGCTGCTGCCTGGAGAGCAATAGCAATCAGTGTGCTTTCCTGCATCCCCTTGTTCAAGAGGGTTTATCATGAACAGTGTGGCTTTGGGTACCAGTGCCACAGGATTGTTTAGGAGTAGAGAAACCTTGTCAGAGTTTACTATTTTCCCTGTGGTAGCTGTTAAGGGTATAAGGCAGGCGATAGTGGAAAGACGACAACAAGGTGGTTGTATTAGAGCTGCTGGTATTGCTGGGGGGTAAATAGCAACGGACGTATGAGCCTTCCATCCTGTCAGCATGGTCCCATAGGAGAGGCCAGGCTACAGGGCTGAGCACCCCACCACAGCCAGTGACCACTCTGACCATGGCTAACCACTCCATTGGTTTCTATAAACTTTCCAACAAATATTTGGGAATGTGAAACATATCTGCAGTGGCTGGGATTCCTGTTTTCAAACTGTTTATGAAACAGTGTTTAAATTCACAGGGTACTCTGCTTTCAATAAATTACTCAAGCCCTTCCAGTGGCACTCTGGGAGCTGCTCTGTTTTAACTCCAAGATACAGCACATAGCCTTGCCCTTGTTAGACATGGGGGCCACTACAGTGACCCAAGGAGATGGAGTGTTGTGGACCAGACTGCCTGCCCATGGAGTTGGGGCTCAGCCCTACCCCTGCTTTTTGGCTGTGCCACTGCTGTGTGGGGTCATGGCACAAGGTTTTGGGGCACCCTGTGGTTCTCTGCCTGCAGCCACTCCTCAGCTAAACCAGTGCTGGGAACCAGAGGGCATTAGTGGCAGAGGCTTTGAGGCCCTGTGAGGAAGGTGAGATGTATCATAGGATCCAGAGACTGGGTCTTTACTTCAGGTGGAGCTGACTGCCCAAGAGGGTCTGCCAAGGAGAAGGTGGCTTTGTGCTCCCCTTGGTGCTACTCTTTTTGCTCAACATGTGCTGCTTGTTAGTATGGGGGACAGGGCAGGGATTAGGAGATGATCTCCACCTCTTCTTGCTTTCCTCCAACTTCCATGTGCTGTTACAAATCTTGATATTTCTACTTCCTGTGGAGCTACCCCAAAACCTCTCTATCTTGGGGAGCATCTGTTGCCCACATCCTGCAGCAGCCAGTGAGGGCTGAAGCATGTGGGACCAGCAGAATCAGATTCAGACAAGCAACTTGAGTGCCAGGTCTCCACTCACCTTTTCCACAGACCGCAGAATTAAAAACACCACTGAGTGGTAAAGCCCCTCTGTTCCCCTTTCTGGCTTAAGGGATATTTGTCACATGAAACAGAAGAGCTCCAGGAAGTGAGAAAGAGCAGCCCCTCCAAAAAAAAACGATGCCTCTGGGGTAGGATGCCTGAGCTGATCCAGGGGTGGCTGTGGCCCAAGGCCATCTTGGTGGGTTCTCTGCTGTAAAGAAGGGAGCTTAGCTCTACTGGGCTGTGGTGCCTCCTCCACCTGCGATTGCTGGTTAGTGCCTGGCAGCTGTCTCTCCATGGGCAAAGTTTTCCATCCTGATGACCTTTCTTATGAAAACTGTTTCAGTAGAGAATTCCCTCGCGTTTCCCTCTGTGGAGCCATCAGTGCTGCCAGGCAGGAGAAAAGCGTGAGCAGGGCTGCCTAGCGCGCTCTTTGCTTTTGACTGCCCACTGGTAGAAACATCTCCATGGACATTGCTGTTGCTGAAAGCTCCCTTTCTGGAGGTGATGCCTTGTAGCTAAATTGCTTGGTGGGAGCTGAGGAGAGCAACAGCAGGCACTTTCAAGTGCTTTGACTCCTCAGCAGCATGGAAGTGGCCAGGGCTGACCCCCTGGGGTATTGGTTTTGGAGGCAGAATATGAGGAGAGAGAGAAGCTGGGGCAGCTCCAAGCATTCAAGCAAAGCAATATGGTTTATGTCCTCACTATCTAGGAGGTGGGGCTGACAGACAATGAGCCATACTGCTGCTCTGTTTCGGAAGTGAAAACTCCTGGAGACTTCCACAGCATCCACACCGTTCTGTCATCAAGCATCCAAGTGAAAGTGAGGCAGAGAGGTTGGTAAATCCTAGTGGCTGCTCTTCTGAGTAAAGCCTGCAATGATCCCTGACTAGGGAACACTTCAAGTCTGGCCTTATCTTGGTAGGGGCAACACACATGCTGTTTACAGCAAGAGCGCAAATGTGCCATAGGTTTTGGTAGATAATAGTATAAAAAGCACTTGTTTCTGGCAGACAGATGCTGCAGCTTTCAACGAAGTGTAAATCTATAGCTTAGACTCTTTGCAGTGTTTTGGGGCAAATAGGTACAGAGTTTTGAGGAGGTTTGGTCTCCTTGTGTCTTTGGAAAATTATGATCAATGCCTGTTGCTGTTTTGAGGATCATGGGATGGACCCAGCAGAGCAGATACTTCTAGATGAGGGGAATCGTTGCCATTTCTATCAGGGTGATTTCATGGTTTTGGAGGGATTACTTGTAAGAAATCACTCAGAGATGTGCAGGAGACTCTTGGTTTTCTTGTCATAGCTATATGATGACAATTCTGATGTATCAGGATATGCCTGTTGAGACTATTTCATAAACATTTATTTATGTATCCATGTCCCAAGAAAGGCATTCCTTTCTGTTTCTAACATGGAGATTTATGTAGTCTCTCCATTTAATGCTGCAGTATCTCTGCCTTTCTCTGAGGAGCACAACAGCTTCCCCTCCAAGTTGGTAACTGTTGTTTGCAGAGAGCCTCTTGCGCCTGTCCGTGTCCACCAGCATGCTGCAGGTCATGGCAGGAGATGCCCTGACCATGCTTTGTGAGGTGCAAGGAACCACCAACCCTGTGTTGGTGTAGTGGGGGTGTCCGCCACCACAGCACCCAGGTCCTTGGTTGCTGGTGACCACCATGGAGCAAGATGGCACTCTGAGCCTGGGCAACGCCTACCAGGACAGCAGGATTTGGGGTAGCCTCCGGCTGGAGAAAGTGAGCTCTGGTGCTTTCACCCTGGTGATCCCCAACATGTTGGATGAGGATGATAGCAGGCAGTATGGCTGTTAAGTGACAGAGTGGTCCCGAGGCCAGAGCTGGATAAAGGAGAGGGAGACAGCAGTGACAGCTCCATGGGCGAGTTAGGCCACTCCTATTTCAGGGCTTTCAAGCTGGATGCGCTGGAGGCAAGGCTGGAGAAGCAGGTGGACAGAAGTCTGCTGTGCTCTCAGCTCCACTGCTGCTGTTGCAGGATGACCTGGGGCTGATCAGTTGGCCCTGGAATGCTTCAATTACCCCCATTTCTAGCAGGGTGCTTAAGTCCTCCATGTGACATGTTTTCAGAGAGACAACTGGGACAGAACAGCTAAAATGCAGAGACCTCAAAGGCAGTAGTGGCTTGCTCAGGAGTTCCTTCTGACTTGTCTCTTAGTTTAAAATACAAAATATCTGTTCTAGCAGCATAATTACTTCTAGTAGTTAAGCTCAACAAATGCACTTGCTGTGTCATATGGTGGCCTTTGTCAGAGAGACACCCCTCGTACAGGCATTGCATTGCTTCTCCTGCCCTCCTGATTGTGCACAGAGCTGCTAACCTCCCTGCATGCTACCTCCCTGGCATGCAATGCCCATAACATTTCTTTGGATTGCTGGAATGTGTGCCTTTATGGAGGGGCAGCTTTTGGCTTTGATTTAGGGTGTTTTTTCTTTCTTATTGCTGGGCTGCACGTCCAAGTGCACTTGTTGGTCCAAACAGGGCAGCAGCACCAGCAGAGGATCCCTGGCTCCCTCTTGCAGGGTGGGACTGGGGAGCCTGGAAGAGAGGGTACTCAGGGTTATCTGAGTTGTGGGAGAGCAGGAGGTGAGGTAGGAGAGAGGCAGGGTCGGCGTGGGGCTGGAAGAGCACAGGGCAACCCATGGGACAGTGGCACTGGCAGAGGAGTGCTTGCTGCCATGGGGCTGAGGTGGCTGAGGCAGTGGGGATGTCCTGCATAGGAAGGGAGGTGGCATGGGGCAGGATTTCTGTCCTGGTGCCAAAGGCTCTCTTCCTGAGTAGGCCTTGGTCTGCATGCCATGCTGTCCCTGTCAGATATGGGCAGAGTTTTGAACTCATCTGCCTAGTGAGCACAAACTATACCCTTAAGGAGGTGCCAGTGTCTGTGAGGTGGTTCTTCCAGCCCAGCCTGTCTGGTGGCCGCTACCAGGAGCTGGACCACAGCACCATGGGCTGTGGGACTGTGCAGCCACACTTCCAGGGAAAAGCTCTGTTGACGAAGGCTGACATCTTCAGGCTGCCCATCCACAGCACTGTGCATGCCAACAACGGGTTGTACCTGTGTGAAGTGGAGGTCTGGAGGAAGAGCACCCTGCTGTTGGGGCCACCAGCAGCCCCCACCAGGTACAGTCCTGTGGGGATAAAGGTGGTGCTGCCAGGTAAGCAGTGCCTTGGGTGCTTCTTCAGCAGAGGTCTCCTCTTCTGCAATTTTAAATCTATCAAACATGATCGGGGCAACCAGGACCAGTGATGGCTGGGGTGTCCCTAGCAGGGTCACCTCCCAGGGCTGCACAAGACGGTGCTGCCTGTCCTGTTTCTCCTTCAGCACTCACAGCTCCTGACAACACTCGTTGCGGCGAATTTGGTGTCGGGGAGTGACAATGCCTATTTATTTGCAGATTATGCCAAGTATAAGAGGCCCTCCAGCCCACCCTCCCTGCGCCTGCTCCCTGCTGCATGGTGTCAGCTCGCTCTGCTCATGGATGGGGCTGCTGGAGGAACTGGAGGACGTGTCCCGGCCAAAGCCTCTAAGCCTGTGGAGGCGGATGTGAGAATATGTGTGGGTTTTATTCCCCTCTTGTCTGTTCTGCCAGCAAAGGAGAGTTCTTGCTCTTTTTTTCATGTGTTAAGTGCTTCTTCCTCTAATCCTTGGATTTTCAGAATTGCAACCCAGTGAACTGAAATTGTGTTTTCTGTGGAGTTTTGGTTTGTTTTTTTGTTTGTTTGTTTTTTGTTGGGTTTTTTTTCAACTCATGGATTTGCTGTATCATAAGCTGGTAACGTTTCCTTCCCTTTTCAGGTTTGTTTCCATGGTGCTCTTCCTCCTGCTCCACTGCTGCTCTTTCCTCGCCCCTGCAGAGCTGGATGCTGGGACACTCTGTGTTACATCTGAGCTACAGCCACCCAGGGCCAGGGGGTCTGTGGGGTGTACTGAGGCTGGGGGTGACAACAGAGAGTGGCTGTGAGTGCATGTTAGTTGTTAAATGGCACTAAAGATAGCCAGATGTAATTGTAGAACATCTGCACAGAGGAGACAGTAGCAGCAGACATACTACATTTGGCTCCAAAGGTATTGCAGCTGCAATGCTGTTAAAGACGTTGGTAACTGGGAGGGCACAATGCACAGTGGGAGGTGGCTGCTGGCTCTAGTGCTGTTTCAGGCAGCGTGAGCGAGCAAAGGAAACTTAGGAAGGGAGAGAAATAATTCTGGGAAGGAGGCCGGCTCTAGGAGCAATGGGATGAGGCGCATTCCTGTCCACAGTCTCTTCCCCCAGCTCCAGCAGTGAGAGACTCTCAGTTAATTAAACTGAAAGGGAAAGCATGTCTTTCTGTCCCAAAGGAACATGGAGGCAGCTGCTTTGCCCTTTTTGGTAATTGATCTTTAGTGGTAGCGAGAGGAGAGATGGAAGTGAAACAAAGCTAGCTTCATGGCAAGTACTCTGCTTCCTCTTCAGGTGATCTCTGAGAACATAACAGCAATTTTCCTCATCAAAGTCAAGTGCTTACCACAGCAGTTCCTGTGGCTTCTCTCTGAGTTTTGAAGCTTTTGCTTCTCAACTATTTTCTGCCCCTGTGGGTGTCAGGACGGGCCATACTCAAACCATAGTGTCAGCCCTCCCTTTTGTGTCCCTGAATAAAGCTCCTGGTCATCAGCAGGTTGCTGTGTTATATTCCTCTGTACTGAGCAGCTCAAGTTAAGAGCCAAATCTCTTGTTTTTCCCAGTGTGATCAGCTCACCTGTCACAGAAACACCGTGGCTGAGGTTGGCAGGGACAGCTGGAGGTCATCTGCTCCAAGGCCCCTGTTCAAGCAAGGCCACCTAGATCAGGCTGCCCAGGACCATGCCCGGTGTCCCTGTCTGGTGGTTTGTGCTTCCTTAGAGCTGGCTGTGGGCTGGGTATGCTTTTAAGTGCTGAAGTCAGAAGTTGCCAACTTGCATCTGGTTCATAAGTGCACTCAAGCCTCCTTGATCACGATGTGTGTTGATCTGATTGAATTTGCATAGCTTGCTAATTATGGTGATTGCTTTCCCATCTTTTCTGCTTTTTGCCCTTACGTGTTTCTTCAGAGCAGCACATGTGCACTGTGAAATGCAGGGCAGCACTTTGCTGATCCCTTGGGAGTGGCAATCTCCTAGACCTCCCAGTGGATGTTGCTGTTGAGGTGAAATAGTAAGCAGGTAGTGGGGCTTGTGCAAGTCCCATTGTGGAGGAAACTGTCAACCTTTTGGTTAAAAAGTGTCTATGCAGTGTGGAGAAAAGAGGGAGGAAGAGCAATAGGGGGCAAAGAGAAATGAGCAGCATAAGTGGACGTGAGCAGGGAGGTTTTGTTAGCAGACTTGAGATGGAGGGGTGTCAGGAGTCATCAGTTGGGATATTTTGCATTGACTAGTCTCAAGAGAGAGACTGATGGTCTCTGAAGTTGATTGCATGAGTTTTGAGAAGAAATGCTTGAAGAAAGGGGACATGAGTGGACTTTATTCTATGGTGTCTCCCTTCCCCACCAGTCCCTGTAGGAGAAGCCACAGCTCCCTCCTGGTCCATGGTGCCTCTCCATAACCTGCTGCCATCACATCCCCTGGGGAAGTGCTGTAGAGAAGAGCACCCTGCTGAGCCTGTGGCTGAAGGCAGGGGCTGAGACGCTCTGCAGGGACATCTCAGTGTGTGTACTTGAACTGGCACCCAGGGAGTGAGCTTAAGAGAGCTTGCCTGCCCCTGTCCTTCACGGCACAGGGCATCCTGCTGCTCAGCTGGTATGAAAGGAAAAAGTAAGAATGGAAACTCAGCCTATGTTCACTTAAAATCCTAATGGTGTCTCCATGCCAAGTCATTTCTGTTTACCACGGGTACTGTGTGTGCTTCTTCCCCTGACTGCTGGCCTCATCTGACAGAGGTGGTATCTCAGCTGAGGGGAAGCACAGGTAGTTGGAGGCCCTTTGAAGAGACTGGTTCACAGCCTTTCTGTTGCTGGAGAAGTAGGAAAGGTGTCAGCAAGAGGTGGTGTGCAGCTGGAAGGGCGTCTCAAACCAGGAGCAGCTGTGTACCCTGCCAGGGGGGCAGAGCTGCGGGCAGCACCACAGGTCTCCTCTCCTGATGTGTTCACTGCTAAATTGAATAATTGCTGGGTGTAATCACAACGGATGTTCAGGACTGTGTTGTGTGGGTTTGGGTTAGTAACCACAGCAAAGACCCGAGATGGCGACTTAGTGAAACCCACCCAGGCTCTGTAGTCTCTCTGAACTAAGACACTTATTCACAGCCTCCAAAGGGACGTGCTGGTTTTGTCACTTACGTGTGAGCCTGCTAATAGAAGTAGTGGTAGATGGACATGTTTGCTTCAGACAGAGGCTTCGTGTCTAAGCTCCAACATGGTCACTGCCTCCATCCCCGTGTTCAAGCCCCTTGGTCCCCCAGGCTCCTCTGCTGCTTCCCTGTCCAGCAGCACCCAAGTGATTCCTTGCCACAGTTCAAATAAGGGTGTGTGGATTTGCTCTTTCACTCCTCCCACACACCCAGTTACAGCGTCCCTTACTGGGTCTTTGTCCTCTTAGCACTCTCTTTCTCCCTTCTCTTTCAGTAGGCCTCTCAGGCCAGCCTTCCTCTCCAGCATCTTTGTATGGGCAGCTGTAGCCAGCATGATGATTTTGTTTCTCCATTTTAGAAAGCAAGCTTTGGGTGGTTACAGAAGATCACTCTGCGGAAATTGCTGGTGGTGCTGACACAGCCATTGAGTGAAAACTCCCAGAGGAAGCATCAGGAAGGACCACACTGGAGTTCAAGCTCCCAGGTGAGCAGCAGAGGGTTACCCTTGTATAAGTGCTGCTGGAGAAGGCTGGAAAAGTTTATTATGGGGCCTCCCCAAAGCTGGCAGGGCTTAGGGAGAAGCAGTGGCTCCTGCGCTGGATCTGAAACCTGGGGATGGAGGAGGCATCAGTGCCTCTTGAAGGTAAATAGAGAATTAGGAGGATTTACTACATCCTCCCAAACCAGACAAGCCATTTTTGCCACTGACAGGTGCTGTCTAATGCTTCATAACAGAGTGAATCATGGGATTTTCTTTTTCCTCCAGCATGTGGTGTGCTTTGTTGGTTGTCAGTGCTCTGAATAGAGAAGAAGCCCTTTTCTGGTACTCCTGAGCATCTTGAAGCAAGACATTCAGTTTTCCTTACCCTGCAGCACGTTGCTGTGGGGAACAAGGCTGAAGACTCAGCTGCTCCCTTCTTCAGCACTGCACTGCTGGGGTGCACACTGGGTGTCCCTGCCTCAGTTCTTCCCTCTCTCAGCCTCACTGGGTTGCAATCCTAAATAAAGTGGATCAGAGAATTCCAGCTTCCTAAATAGCATTTTGTCTAAAGGATGCCCTATCACATATTTGGAGTAGGTGGGAATTACTACAGCAGAGGGTTATGAATAGGGGCAGAGATGATGTTGGGGGAGGGGGGAACACCCCATGGAGCAAAGGGTCTGTGGGTGTTCTGCAGAGGCTCTTGCCATACCAATTCCCCACACTTTGCACTAGAAGATTTCCATCAGCCTGCAGGCACAGACAGACACATTTATATGGCAACTCAACATAACTTTCTGCTCACATCCTACTCCAGGGGAGGAGGTGCAGCTGGAGAAAACCAGCCGCATCATCTCAGCGAAGGAGGGAGGGAGAAGAGGTGACGCTGCGCTGCCTGTTGCAGGGTGCCCGCCTGCTCGCCACCCGCCTCTCGGCCACCTGGTTTAGGGGCAATAAGAGCAGCCGCATCAGGACCCTGCTCACCCTCCATTGCAATGGCTCTGTTCAGTACCCCAAGGAGAGCCTGGCAGGGACACTGTACCTCTGCCACCCTGCTGCCAGTGACTTCAACTTGACACTGCACAGCGTGGAGGGGGGTGATGCTGGGCTGTACCACTGCTGGGTACAGGAGTGGCAGCAACAGGGTGAGGGGAAGGACTGTGTTCTGCAAATCTTGGTGTGCTCAAAGTACATGCAGCTCATGACCACCATCCCTATGGGTAATGCTGCCTGGGTGCAAGGGGCTCCGCATTCCACATTGGTTCCCCTTTAGCCATGCTGGGGGAATGGCAGCTCTCTGCTGGTGATGCTGGCTGCAATGGCAAAGGTGCCGTGGGGCCAGGAGGGCTTGCTAAGGGATTGCAGAAGGGGTCAGTGCTGGGGATATCACCAGAGTTGTGTTAGGAGCCAGGAAGGGGAGCCCTTTGAGGGACATGTGCTATGGGCCTGGTGGGTGAGGCGGTGAGTCCCAGTGCTGATGATCTGCCAGGGCTGAAACCCAGGTGCTTGGCATTGTAGATGTTGGAGGTTGTGGTTATATGGGATATCGAGGGCTCTGACTGTGAGGTATGTGTTCCAGAGGGTACCATTCAGTGCACTTGTGTCTGCAGTGCTCTGTGGCTTGTGTGCTCTCTGTGAGACCATGGGCACAAACCACATGCCATTAGGACCAAAACTCTTAACTGTTTTGAGGACAATATTATTTCTTGCTGGCAAGTCCGTCTCCAGTGAGGTCTCTAAAAACAGCCTTTTTCCTCTTAGGGTGAGTTGGGTGCATGACCAGTGCAAAGATAGAGCTGGGTGCCTATGTATGCGTATAGTTTCTGCAAGAGTTACCTATACTGACCAACGTGGAAGAGCTTGGGGACCCTGTAGGCCCCTTCCCTTGTGCCTGCTACTGACACAGGCAGGCAGGGAGCCTATTCACATGTGTCTGCAACTACAGCAGGGCTAATCTGGATTTAATTGCACAGGGAGGGACTGACAGTGCTTCATCCCCCTCCTGTTTTGTTGCTGCTGTTGTCCATCATGGCTCCCTCTAGCACTCAGATTTTTCTCCTTCGTCAGCTCCCTCTGTCTTTTGTGACCCATTACTGGTGGAGTAACCATTGCTAAAATTGCTTCGTAACTGCTGAAAAATTCTCCTCCAATTTTTGTGTAAGTGTTTTTGACAAGTGGTTTTCATGGTTTTCCCAGAATCCAGGAGAAGCTGTGGCTGCCCCGTCCCTGGCATCAAGGCCAGGTTGGACAGGGCTTGGAGCAACCTGGTCTAGTGGAAGGTGTCCCTGCCTGTGGCAAGCGATTGGAACTGGATGAGCTTTAAAGACCCTTCTAACCTGAACCAGTCTGTGAGTATGTGAAGATCAGGTGGGTGTTTGTTCTTTCTCTCTCTTTTTCTCTTGTGTGCCTATGTGTTTCTTCAGTGATATCTCAAAATGCCCCTCTGGATCACAAATTCAAATGTTTGAGCAATTGCCAAGGGGCAATGACATAACCATGTGCCAGTATACCTATAACCAGGAGTAATTTCAGCTAAACAAACCAGGGCTTTATCTGACTTTCCAAAATAAGAAATTGAAGCAAATTGCATGGTTTCTCTCCTCCCTTCTCATCAGGTAGCCTATATGAGTTCTTAAAAATTGATAGGTGTTGAAGATTGAGGGTAAGTGGTAAAAGAATAACCTATAGAAAAACAGAGAGAGAAACTCAAACTGTCTTGGGGCCTCACTCCTTTTTCCTTTTTTCCTCCAGAGTCAGCCATTTTGTCTAGAACCTGCTTTTCCTTACCAGTGTTGAACTTCATTCTGTACTTACCACTGGTGCTGATCCTTCTCCTGGCCCTTGCTGTGTTGTGTTGGTACTTCAAGTTCAGAAGAAGCAAGAAGGGTAACATTACAGGAGACCAGCTGATGGAGCTGCAAGGGGCTGGAGGGGTTGATAAAACAAGGGTCTGCAGTGGCAGATATAATTGAAGGAGTGGAGCTGGACAGCTGAGGGGGACTGAGTACTTGCAGAGGGGATTGTTATCATTATGTAGTAGCTTTTGCAATGAGATTTTATATTTTCTTTCAGTGGAATGAAGCAGCTTTGGATTACTGAGCATATAGGGTTTTCATAACAAGTATTCCTCTCTCCTAGGTTAGGTACCCACCCTTTTCAGACTCTGTTCATTGTGCGGTATTTGAGGTCCTTGCAGTATGTGTCTCCCACTGTGGATGGAAGTGGTGTTATTCCTTGACAAGTATAAGGGGAAAAACAGTTCTTTTTGCACTGTGACACAAACGTATCTAATTGCTACTTATTTTAGGTGACTTGACAAAAACTCTGTGGCTAGAAACTAGCGGCAGAACTAGAAATGGAATATTGGTGTCCCAGTTTAAGGCATTACGCTTGCCTTTGCCCACCTTTTGCTGAGGACACTTTTTTTTGCTCATCGTTTTGCTCAGACACTGCTGTCCCCTCTTTCTGAGAGTGCCTGTGCCCAAAGAGCATCTTCTCTGAAAAGAAATGGTCTTCTTCACAAAACCTGTAAGAGGAACCTGAGGACTGAGCAAGGCTGGATGGGCCTGAAGAAAGTCCATAGCAGGAGTACCACAACCACCCACAAAAAATGAATCTTGTAGACCCAATACAGGACTCGTGTGAATTCTTGGATCCCAGAAGGAAGAATTGGACACAAAGACATCTTGAAGATGAGTGTAAAAAGACTTCCCAGCTCCTTCATTTGGTAGGTCTGCTGTAGGAGAAGTCCAGCCTCTCATGCCTGGACTATCTGTGGGTCAGGAAGCTGGGACCTGGTATTAGGTGCCTCCTTGCTGTACCATGTAATAAAAAAGTCATGTGTTTGTGGGGTAGCTCCTCTGTGCTCCAGCATCCGGCTCAGGCTCACCTTTTCAAGGTTGAGGCATTCTGCCTCCGGAAGGCTGGCTGATGCATTCGAGGAAAAAAGATTTCAATCCAGTCCCTGTAAGTCAAGGGATAGTCAACCCCTAGTTGTGCAAAGTGGGAAGTTCAGGTTAGATACAAGGAAGAAGTTCTTTACTGTGAGGGTGGTGAGGCACTGGAACAGGTTGACCGAAGAATTGGTGAATGCTCCAGCCCTGGCAGTGTTCAAAACCACGTTGGACAAAACCTTGGGTGACATGGTTTAGCGTGAGGTGTCACTGCCCATGGAGATGATCTGCCATGGAACTGGATGATCTTAAGGCCCTTTCCAACCCAAACCATTCTGTGATTCTACCCACACCATTCTGTGTGGTCACAGCAAGCTGTAAAGTCAGGCATCAGGGCGACACTCGATGCACTGTCCTCAAACGAAAGTCGCCATACGGAAATCATGGCAGATGTTTATGTACCTGCTTCCTCTGACCAGGGGGAAGGTTGTTAAGAGATACCACTCCTTTCTAGATGATTTGCTCATATTCTTCACTTTCCTTACACTTAGAAAAGCTGCCTGCCCTCTCACAGGGAACTGGGAGGTGTTTCAGTCTCCCTCTTCTTGAAAAAAGCACTTTTGGCCTAAGTTTGAAGATGACTGCGCTTGTTTCCCTGTTCAGCCACCCGCTTGCTCAGCCTTTCCCTGTAGGTTATGTTTTCTGGACCTTGTGCAGCTTTTCCCTTTGCTGCCTTGACCCTGGCTGTCTCTCCTGCAGTGTGAGTTCTCAGAGCTGCACATGGGGCTCTCCACAGAGGTTCCCCCTAGCCTAATGGGTTACATCCATTTACACATCCCAGTGGGATGTTTGGTTTTCTGTGTGTGTGTGACAGTGTGGCACTGTTTGTGCTTGGCTCGCAGTCAGCAGGCTCCTCTCCTGCAGACTTGCTGTCTAGCAAGTTGTTTCTGCTGTGTGTTAGGGCTGTTGACTCTTCCCATCTAGTGGAAGCATCATTTGCATGGGTCTGTTGAACAGCTTTGTGCACCAGTTTGCAAAATTCCTGCTGTCTGTTTGTCTTAGTACAGGACTAAGACAGTAAGGCTTTAACTTACGGACCACTTTCAGTCTGTTTTGACAGAGAAACAGGTGCTCCCAGGATATTAAACTCTTTCAAGTTTCCTGAAAGGTGGTAGCTGGATGGTGAGGAGACAGGCAAGTTGTCCCACCAAGGGAAGGTTGCAGTGTGAGTTAGGTCAGTTAATGCATGCAAAGGAAAAGGAAGAACTGTTTTTGACCATTAACTATTGACAATCTGTGCACATATTTAATCTACCAATTTTGTGCTGTCCCTTTGCGTTTTCATTTGAATTGTCTTCTTATCTTGCCCATAAGAGTACCTTGGGAGAATACTTCATAAACCTTGTTAATGTCAAGAATGTATGATGCCTACAGCTTACCCCTTCCCACAATGCTTGCAGATTTCTTGGAATGGAGAGCAGGTAGGCCTGACATGCTCTGTTCTTCTTTAAAACAAACAAAATGAAGGTTATTTTCTTTTTTTCTTGCATTCTTATAATACGCTTGTCAGTACTTTATCCCTGTATTTATGTGAAGATTGCAGTTAATCAGAATCACAGAATGATTTGGGTTGGAAGGGACCTTAAAGCTCATCCAGTCCTAACCCCTGCCACGGGCAGGCACACCTTCCACTAGAGCTGATTGCTCCAAGCCCCGTCCAACCTGGCCTTGAACACTGCCAGGGATGGGGCAGCCACAGCTTCTCTGGGCACCCTGTGCCAGTGCTTCAGCACTCTCACAGGGAACAGCTTCTGCCTAAGGGCTCATCTCAGTCTCCCCTCTGTCAGGTTAAAGCCATTCCCCTTGTCCTCTCCCTACAGGCCCTTGTCCAAAGCCCCTCTCCAGGTCTCTTGCAGCCTCTTTGGGCACTGGAGCTGCTCTAAGGTCTCCCTTTAAGGAGCCTTCTCTTCTCCAGGCTAAACAAGCAGGTGTTCAGTTTCTCCTTTTAAAAATTAATTTTGCCCTTTTCTTGTCCTTGGTGTCTAACACTTCCTCAAGTATTAAGCCACCACATTAAGCCACTAACAGACAGCTTGACAGCCCATTCTTTACATGTCTCAGGATGAACCTCATTAAGACTAGCCTTCCGTTTAAAAATCTGACTTATTTAAGGTGCTACTTACAGAGTTGTGGGGAGGTGGTCTGGGACAGACCCTAACCAGTCTCCACAGGGCTCACACAGCTTACGAGTGACCTGGCTGGGTTTGGTGTGTTCCCCAAGCCCACACTGGCCCCTCAGCCATCTCAGCACTCTGCTGCAGGTCTGTGGAGGTGTCATTGCTGCCATATGATCATCACATCAAAAGCTGTAGACTCTACTGCAGTACAAGGTTTTTGTGTCTGGTGGACTGGGGGAAGAAGGTGGGCAGAGAGATGAGGGGTTCTACATCTGTGAGGTACGTTCTTCTGTCCCGTTTTCACCCAGTTAACCAGCAGATTTCTGGTCATGCAGGTTTAGAGGTTTTAAAAAAGGTATTTCCCTTGCATCTCCTATTTAGAAATGCAAACCAGAAAGAGAAGTCTGATCACTACTTGCTTCTGCAATGTGGTTAGGAAACAGAATTTCACAAGTAACAGCTTTGATCATGTGCTCATCTGGGCTTTCACTTTCATTCATTACATTCATTTTCCCTGTGTGTTTCTAAGGAGCTTTATGTGTTTATAAGTGACACCGACAGGGAGCTGAGCCCTCCTCTGCAGCTGGTGCCAGTGAGCTCTCCAGGGACAAATGGGTGCAACCTCGCTACTTTCATTGCAAACTACTCACCTCCATCAGCAGCTTTATTTTAAAGAGTAATCCAAGCAGGGGCTAATTTGTCTTTTAACTGACTGTGCTCATTCCCCCTGCAGACAGTGTGCCTGGGCTGCTGGGCAAAGTGAGGGGAAAGGGAGCTGCTGCTCTGGCATCCCTGGACCTCATGATGGGTGCTCTCTCCAGACTCCTCTTTGGGGACAACCATGAAAGCAAAGATGGTGGGCTTCGGAGGGAAGCAGGAGGTAGCCTGGTCTCTGGCCTTGTGTGTGTTACCTCTCCTTGTAGGAATGAGAGGAACATTCATTTCTGCAACTGTTGACTTAAGCGTGAAAATTCCCCAGAAAGGGTGAAAACATTGGGTTTATCATTATTTTAAGCATGAGAGAATGAATGGGTGGATGCTGGGAGCAGTATGGCAAACCAGAAGGAGCTGTAACTCCTTGCAGCCCCCTCATGGGATGCTAATAGGGGGGAGAGCTCCACTGTCCCATTTGAAAGAGAAGGGCCATAGCCAGTTGCTGTTAAATGTGGCAGTAACGCCTCATGCCATGGCTGACAGATAAAAGGCAGAGGCCGCCTGAACTGTAAAGATGTTTCATTTCCCTGGTAATGAGGGAGACCCACTGTGGCAATGAAACAGAGGAAAGAGAGGCTGCGAGATGCTGATTTCTGTTCCTGCTGCCGCTGCTGCTTTGATCTGAAGCAAATGCCCATTTTAAATTGCAAACGGATGCAAGTCAGATATCATCCAGCCAGTGGCTTACAGGCTTAATGAAGTGGGATGAAGCTTTTGCCCGGTGATGGTAGGAGAGGCAGGCAATTCAGAGAGGAATTACTGGAGGTCTAAAGAGACCGGGAAGAAGGATGGGGAGGTTGCAGGGTAACTCTCACCACCATCAGTGAGGCACAAAGTCCCCTGTTTTCTATCTTTGGGAAGCTGTGCCTAGGCTAAGCCCCTAGAGAAAGCTATGAACACACTGCCCCACTATTACACATCTATATTTTAAGGCATGATTCCTATACAGGTAACGCAAGGTCATCCTGCTCTTTGGGGTCAGAGCGTGAACATTGACTTGATGCATTCCCCAGGTGAAGCAAAGCTGCAGGAGGATAAGTAGCTCATTTTGTGCTATCATTTGGGCATTTAATAGGTCTTGAGCAAGATAAAATTTATTACGCAACTGACAAGGCTGTTCTGGGGCAGACCCAGAGGCTCCTGGGAATGGGACCATTGAGCCAGTGATCTGGGAGCCTGATAACTCATGATTGACAGCCACATCTTCTCAAGACTAAAGATCTGACCTGTTTTGAAGAATGAATGTCTAACAGGATATTTATTACATTCCTCACTAACACAAGGCCTAGCATCAGGTCAGAGTTTGTTGTGTATCTTGTGTGGATACTCAGAGGCATGGATGGCTCTGCAAGCTCTGTGGGAAGGCTGAGAGACCTGCAGGCAGCTGGGAAGATTGGCCTCTGCACCAAGCAAGGCAGAAATGATCTGGCTATTGAAAAGGGCAGTTGTGGCTCGTAAACTTATTAGATTCTTTGAAGGAGTCAGTGTGTGTGTCTGGGTGAGAAAAATCAGATGAATGTAGTCTGTGTGGAGCCAAAAGAGCCTCCACAATGTCCATCATCAAAGGGTCTTATGGAAACCAAGTAACAGTGGGATAAAACTGGCAGGGCTTTTCATAGATAAACTATTTGTTAAAAATACTTTACAAAGAAGGTAAGTAGTTCTGACAGAAGAGGGAAGTCATCGGTGAGGAGACCTATGCTGCTCAATGAACACAAATGGTCTGGAAAAGAGGATGACTACTCAGCAAAGAAAGATAGTATTAATTTAGTCGAGGCATTAGGAACAAGGGCTGGCTCTGACAAAATACCCAGGGGTGTTATAAGACTGACTGATTGGGTGAAGAAAGAGCAGCTAACATTGTCATCTCTAGGTGACTGTAAAGTGAAACAACATTCAAAACATCGGTCTCAGCTTCACATTTAAAATGATGGGCTCTGAGCTGACCATTATTGTTCAGAAGGAAGTGAGATGTGAGAATTGCCAGGTGTATGTAACATCTGCATGATGTTCAAAGCAGCCAAGACAGCAAACAAGAAGCTGTGGGTTATCAGGAAATGCAGATCAAAATAGATTGCACCATTTTGCTGTGGGACACAGAAGCTCAATGGTAGGAGCCTCAAAACAAAACAAATGAAAAGGAGCAGGGTTCTCACACCACATGAAGTTAAGTTGGAAAGCAACTTGTTATGGGATGTTGTGCTATAGTTTTGTTTTCTTTCAGGA